CAATTATTTTTAGGATATTTACAACTGCTGGGAATACCACAAATGAACATTTACATGCCCCAGGCTTTTAATGCTAAAAGCTCGCACAAGAGAGTGACCATTTACATGTACATTGCGCAGTCTTTATGCTAAAAGTTCACGTAAAAGATCAGGTCATATTGTTTCAATCCCTGGTTGTATATAAGAGCTCTTTTTTGAATTCTTGAGATGGCTTCAGGGAGAGCTTTGACAGTATTATTGATCGCTGATATTGCAGATTGAATTTTTCTTATTGCTATGATACATGTACATATATCTTGAGACAAGTGTGATAAATCAGCTACATTAGTATTAACAATAGCAGTATTAGTAATGGTTTTGTACAGTAGCGTAAAAAAATGAACATCAAGACTTATTAGTTTAATATTATTTCTCTAGAGCAGTTTTCAATTGAATGTCAAATTAAGTAATCAAAGAATACCTTTGGTTTTGGTTTTGGTAAATGAGATTGGCCGTGTAGTCTAATTGGTAAGTAATTAGTTGTGGTTTGGTTTTACAACACTCAATTGAAAACTGCTCTAATATACCTTCATTGATGGAAAGATATTACCAAATTACACTGCTGTCAATTATCTGAGGAATATCGAAGGAAACCAAAATTTTCTGAGAGTTCAAAAGGTCACGCCACCAGTTTAATCCAGTTTGTTTGTGTTTCTATCTTCTTTCCCAAGGTCCTTTCATTTGTGTGTCATAATTTTGATATGTGCAGCATAAATCTCAATTGTTAGCTGCATAACTTTGAACTTCAGAATTTATTTGTTATTGAAAGGCACAAAGGTTATTATATTTTGTGTAAACCTGCTACAATCCTTATTTTGCTGTTTACAAAGCTCTCTTTGTAAGAAGTGTAATAAGATAATGCTCTGGTTCTCAATACCTTCCTATTTTACATGTTGATTTTACAGACATTATGTGTACTATTGTTTGACCTGCTGTGTAGTTTCTTTGTCTACATTATACTAAGATTTTACGCAATATTCAGTTTGCTTTTTACAGAGATTTTATTGAGATTATGTCTTACGGCTTACGCACCCGTTCCTTTGTACAGGCTGATTTTACAGAGAAGATGTGGACATTTTGCAGAGATTTATACCAATAACATGCTTACATTTTACAGACATTATGCGTACTTTTGCGTGACATTGTGTGTAGTTTATTTGTGCAGATTTTAGTAACATTTTATGATATTTTAACTCAAATTTTACAGACATAATATGGAGATTTTATGTCTTCGATTTTACAGAGATTTTTCTCCTGCATATTTTACAGAGATAATGTGGACATTTTACAGAGATTTCTTTAAATGCCATAAAATCTCTTAAATTTTACGAAACATTCACAAGAAAAATAGCAACATTTTGTGGACATTTTATGCGATCTGAAAGCGAAACATTTACTAAATTTTACAGACTTTTTATAGAGATTACAAAATCTCTGTAAGTGTGCAAATTTACAGACATTGTAAGTTACAAAGGAAATGTTGACATTTTACAGAGATTTAACGAACTTTCTTGAAGTCTGTAAATGGTTCAAATTTTCCAGTGGATCCCCTCCATTAAATACTATGATCAATAATATCAGGCCTAACATAACATCTGCTCAGAAAATATCAGAAAATGATGACTGCTTCGCAAAAAAGACCATGTATCGGCAGAACAAAACTACTGTAATATTTCTGAGCTACATTGCTGAATAACGAAACTCACACCGATCAGATGTTACACTTTTAAATTCCTTTTGCTTTTCACAAAGTAGCGGTTGTTTTAGTTCTTTCCACGCGCTATTCATCAGTCTTCCAGCCAGCTATAAAACAGTAACTCTTTTCACGGTTAGTTTTTCTCATTTGCATTACAATGTAATCCAACTTGGATGCGCGACAATTTCGAGCAGAAAATGCAAAATTTCACCGAATTGCCTCACATGCATGCTAGATTATAGCGGAGCTCCGGCGGCCCGAAGGGCCGCTAAGCGGAGCCCCATATTCATACAGGAAGGAGAAGGAAACCCATGAGTTGATTTTCTCATGGTTATCGTGGCTAGCGGTACTGCTCGTGGGCGCGTACGCACGACGACGACGACGGCGGCTTTGAACAACCCGGCCCAGGAGCTACGCTTTAGGCTGGCCTAAATCTATATATTACTGTAATGCAAATGAGAAAAGTTATTCGTGAACTCCGTGAGAAGGGCTATCGGCCAATACCGTAGAGTGCCTCGTCATGATATCGAGTTATTTCCATATATGACTAAAAAGTAGAAAAACACAACACCTTACTATTGTAGTTCCGATATAATACTGATCTAGTGTTTCTTTATATTTCAGCCATCCTTTTGAACCTTTAATCCGGTTAAATCGACCCTCAAAATGGCGTTGACTGTGGACGAGGTACTTGAAAAGATTGGGAGCCTGGGGCTGTACCAGATCAGGCTGATCTTTATCCTAAGCTACATAGAATGGTTCAATATAACCTTCCAGATCATGGTACCTACCTTCCTCTCTGCGGAACCCAAGTGGATGTGTGTCCCTCATCTCAATAACACCGCTTGTAACTTCACTGGAGAATTCACTGCAGTGGATAAAAGACGATGCGATATGCCGAGGGAGGCCTGGACATTTACCGATGATTTTACTTCCGTTGTCACGGAGGTATGCAGTTTATTAAACGTTCAGCATCATAGATCCTGTTGTTACATTTTTTTAAAAAGACAAATTGTGGAAAGGCTCATCTGTGCTCAGGGTAAAACTTATCAAGCGACATGCCATTTTTCCCATCTTACAGATCTATTTGTAACTAGTTTGTTATTGTTTGAAATTTTTAATCATGGGGCGATTTCCATTCAACCACAAATTCCGGTTGGAACTTTCCAGTGACAATTTAAATGGAAGAGCATTTTCCAGAGTTTCCGGAAAAGAGGAAAACCTTGCGAGGTATACCGAAATTTTTGGAAATTTCTTTTTAGGAATTTACTTTCCTCTTGGTTTTCTTCCCGGAATTTCTGGAATTTTAAGTTGAATGGTTCGCATTTCGGAAATTCAACCATTTCCAGATTTTCTCGAACCTATCCCAGGAAATGTTTTTACCATTTGTCAATGCAAGTTTTCGGGCTTTTTGTGGAATGGAAAGCGCCCATGGTTTCCATTTGAGATAATGGCGTAAACATAAGTCCAGTTAGTAGCGACATACACGTTTGTAACAATGATGATGTTTTCTTGTGACAAGTTTCGGTAATCTTCTGGATTTTCTGGGGGCAAGTGATTGGCCTACCGCCCAACCCCCATGACCTGGAGGGCCAGTGGTTTTCTGTCAGGGTTTTCCCTCCCTTAGGGGGCTTAAATGGCTCCCCAGCAGGTGCTGCTTTAGTCTGGACCCTTACCGCGCAGACCAATCCGGCATGGTTGGACCTCCCAGGAGCACAAGGCTCCCGCCGGCATAGCCCTGGGGGTCGTAAGGTCACAAAAGCCTTCCCGCCACGACAAGGCACACCACCACGGGGAGGACGACCTAAAACCACATGGAGAAGGACGGCGGAAAAAGAATCCAGGCAAAAGAGATGGTCCAGCTGGGCGGAGGTCAGGGGCACAGACAGGGCTAGTTGGCGAGAGACAGTTACAGCCTTATGCGCCTCATGGCGTGAAGAGAAATAACTATAACTAACTTGTTACAAGTAAAATATGAAATTTCAAGTATATGAAAGATCATATATTTGAATTGCGGAGAAAGATTTGATTGATCCTCGCAGTTATACACACAACTTAAGCAGTTGGGAAATTAAAGCCTGAAAATCCCTCTCAAGCCTGAATGTCTTATTATTGTTATTATTATTATTATTTTCAGGCTTTAATTTCACCGCTTTTAAAAGTTGTGTATGTAACTGCGATGATCAATCGCATTTTCATGTTTTCTTATTGTTGGAACTTTCGTTCTTTTGTTTGTCATTTTGTAACAGTGTTGGTGTTTTGTTGTTGTTTGATTTAAGTTTGACCTGGTTTGTGACAAAGCCGTGCTCTCCTCCCTTTCCACATCACTGGTGTTTGCCGGCTGGCTGGTTGGTGCAATCATTGGTGGTGTTTTGTCAGATATCATTGGCCGTAAACCCATTATGCTCGTATTCTGTTTCGCGTGTAGTTTGTTTGGCCTTTTCGCGTCCTTTCCTCATCATTTCTGGCTTTTTATTCTATTCAGGCTCTTGACTGGATTGTGTATTGGTGAGTTAGACATTTGACTGAAGACATCAGTCAGTAAAATACTATAAATGAAACCGTTATTTACCGGCCACCTCTATTAAGCGGCCACCACCTTTTTTTGTCCGATGAGGGAGTTCTCTATTGTCCGTACTTCTTTTAAGCGACCACCCATAATTTAATGCAAGTAGTAGGCTTCCTTTTGGAAAAGACGATGACAGATAAGAATCCGAAGTAGAATTTGGCGACTGATAAAAACATTCAAACACACGTTTATAATGACTGTCTTGACGTGATTCATGTTTACTAAGCAATAACCCTGTTCAGAAAATATCTAAAGTACACGAACCCCTATTGAGCGACCACCTCCCATTTTCCGGGGGATGGCCGCTTAATAGGGGTTCAACTCTGCATGCAAACCTACTGTAATCCCTTACATAGGCTAGCTCGATTACCAGCCGATGTTAGGGAAAGGACTCCTCTTCTCTGGAAGGAACGTAGGTCGGACTCGGGAGAGCGGTGGAAATCGAGCGAATCCCGTATATAGAGCAGGTTAAATTTTCTGTAATCTCACTTAATATTCTTGTGATGGTTTTTTCAGGGGGAGGGGGGATGGCAATTTACGTGCTTGCAACTGAGTTCGTGGGAAGGAGGCATCGTCACGCGGCTGGTACGTCACTGTGGTACTCGTGGACCTTAGCTCTAGTGATGTTAGCAGGTCTGGCGTATGGAGTGCGTGACTGGAGAATCCTGTCAATCATCTGTGCCGCGCCTGGTTTACCATCTATTTTAGGTTGGCGGTAAGTGACTAGTGAACAAGTTCCATCGGTATAAAGAAGTCACGCTATTTAGATTTAGTTTGGCCAGGTAAAATATAACCTTTAAATTAAAGTAAACCTGAGAATGATAGTCTACTAAGATAGAAAAACTCTATAGAGATAATGATAAACTATAAATGAACAAGGATAGTTAAGGATGGAGAAGATTGACACGGATTACAAACGACGAACTTGAAAACTTTAGGCTAAACTCGTTAAGACGCGCAAACCGTGACCTAGCTCCTTTAATTCAGGTTTATTCCAGAGTCGTCAAGGTACTTGCTGCTAAAAGGAAGGGTTACAGAGACAGAGGATGTGCTGCGAGATATCGCTGCCGCTAACAAGAAGGAATATCCGGACGAACTTCTCTACAACCCGAGTGCTGATGGGAAGGTACAAAAAATGGGAGACGTCAGAGATTTGTTTCGAACCAAGAAAATGTTGCACAGGACTGTTGTCTCTTGGTATGCCTGGTAAGTTAAAAAAGAGGCAAAAGGGGGACGGGGGGGAGGGGGGGAAAAAGTAGTGTAATGTAAGTGGAGTAACTATAACCAAGTAAGTAGTGTATAAATATTGTATTATAATTGTAGTAGAAGTGCCGTAATGTNGGGGGGGGGGGGAAGGGGAAAACAAATGCCGTAATATAAGTGGAATAACTGTAACCAAGTAAGTATTGCATAAATATTGTATTGTAATCGTAGTATAAGTACCGTAATGTAAGGAATGTAACGGACTGTAAGTAGGGTATTTCGAGTAACTCTCATAATGTAGGTAATGTAAGTAAAAAAGAAAACAAAAAAGTAAGAGTAGAGGGTTTTTCTTTTCATCCTTGAAGATTTTAATTCGCACCCTCCTCAAAGCTGAAACTTTCACATGCTCCCGGCGACTCTGAACGGGGGCCCAGGGCTACAACATGAGCCTGACCTCCAGTTATGTAAATATCCAAAAGACATTTTTACATAGATAAAAATACTTCTTTTCATCCACAGGTTTGTAAACGCCATGGTTTACTATGGTGTTTCATTCAGCACTCCTACACTTGGTGGAAACATGTACCTGAATTTCTTCCTGGCCTCCATTATCGAGATTCCCGCCAATTATGTTGGTATCTGGGCCTTGGGCAGGTGAGTGGTGCCTCTGCGCTAACGCTTTTGGCGGGAAATTCCTTTGAAACTAATTTATTTCTTCATTAGAGCGATTTTCATTTAATTGTCGAAAAGTAATTGGGTTTGCATCAACTACGCGACACGATTAAAACAAAAACACTCGCGTCACTTCTTCGTCCAATCAGAAGTAAACCGAAACCAATCATGACCCGTTCGCACACCTTTTCCC